GGCCGCCTCATTGGCTGCCCTTTGTTTGATTTTGTGATGCGTTCGCTGTCAAAATGGGTTTTGACACGAGCAGGAACTAAGCGGCTGGAATTCCTGGTGCTGAGGGCGGGCACGCACGAATTTGTGAATTTGTCTCGGGGAGAGGATTCTCAGCAGTGTGCTGGGAATCCGCTGGTGGATTTGGTGTAATTGTAATTTGGTGCTTGTCAGGATGTGTGGAAAAACGGGCCTGCAGCTCCTAAAGGCAGAGTTTCCCCTAGGGCAAGGGCTGGGCAGGGCGGTGTGGAGGTTCTGGAGGGGACAGACATTCCCCTGTTAGTGGGAATGCACAGTGGGGAGATGCCCGTGGTGTTCGAAGGTGCAGATCACCTGTGCAGCCCTGAGAATCTAGGTCTGAGGCTGGAAACAGGAGTTTCATCTGTGCCGTGCTCAGATGAGTTTCCAGGGATGGGTAATCAGCTGCAAACTGAGGCTTGCAGGCGTGAGTTTGGTGTTCGTGCCTAGGTAGCCCCAAAATTTGAACTGAAGTTTCAGTTTTCGTGCATGCCGTGATTTAGCGTTGCTTGTGTGTCAGATATATCCTGCTTTGTGTCATGAATATTGTATTATCTTGAGATGAAATCTGAAGCAGAGCTGATGGATCTGTTGGCAAGCCATTAAGGTCCAGCTGAGGAAGGAGGCTGACCCTTGTGAAAAAAAAAATAAAAATACCTTGCAGAAGTGGGGGGAGACTCTGTGTGCCCAGCCCCTTGGAGGGCTCCAGTACCAACACTGATACCTGGTGATAAATGTCAAATAAACCCCAGGGCTTTTCTTTTCACCCCAAACCCTTCACAGTTCATGTATTGCTATTCTTTGTGTGAAAGGTAAAATCGAGGGCTTCACATTTCTGCTCTTTGGGGATGCTGTGGCAGTTTCTGTAAGGCTTCTTGTCCCTCACTCTCATGCTTCCCTAAAAGCAGTCCCACAGAAGCAGCTGTGTCAAAATAGGTTGTCGCTATAGGATGGATCTGGGTTAAGAAGATCCCACTGGATCTAAATATTTCACTTTAGAAAGAATTCAAATTGCTCAAGAATCCTTTCTGCTTTTCTAAAAGATACAGATTCTGCATCAGATTAAATAAAAAACCATATAGAAAGTGGTTATTAATGAATAAGCAACACTTTTGGGTGTAGACAATTTTTGCAGGATGCTTTTCACTGGTCACAGCACATTGCCCACCTTCAGCTGGCACAGGTAACCTGTGTTCTCTCTCCCTGTGTTCTCTGTGTTCCTCCTGTTTTTTGCAGTTTTTATATTTACAAGTATTAATGATTGGCTTAGTGAGAGGGCTTTCCCAAAACCTCCAAAATTTCAAGTGTGTGGAGGGAGTTTCCACCTTGTAGAAACTGTTACGTTTTTCTTGTCACTACATCTGGTGACAGTTTGTTGAAGCCTAAAAAAGAAAATTAAGGTGAAGAATAACAGTGCTAATCAATGATGAACCTGTAAATAAGAAATTCCAGGTGTTGGACATTGCCATCTGGTACAAAGTAGTCATTTGTCTTTTTACTGGGTGGGGAGGATGTTTTGTACAAAAATTATTTGTGATTAAGCCTGGGATATTGTTGACTGAGCAATGTATTTACTGGGGATCATGAGGAAGTTACTGTAAACACTCTGCTGCTTACATATATTGGAAGAAGAAGTGATGAATTCAGCTTATCTCCTGTCATATTAAAAAAGGATTTTGTGCCCTGAGAGTTGTAAATCTTGCCCACCAGAGCTTGTCACCTGCTGGTGTAGTGCTGTGCCTCAGGGAGAGCAAAAGGCAACTTTAAAAAAAACCCAAAACCAAACCAAAAACCCACCATCAATGAGCAAAACCAACCCCCAAACCAAAAAAGGGCAGTGATGGAGTGACAGGAAGAATCTGTGTTTGAACCTTTAAGTCCTGAGGCAAGAAAAGGTCTGGTGTTGAGGTTTCTTTTATATTTTCATTGTTGAAATGCTTTGAAGCACCACCTTTTTTTTTTTTTCCTCTCAGTTTTGGTCACTGTGGTAAAAGACAAGGAAGTATTTCTCACCACAGTGACAGAAACCACAAAAGATCTGAGTTTCCAGTTTTTCCCCCACTTGGGGTTCACCTTTGTATTCAAGATGGAGATAGTTTGCTGCATATTAATAGTGTCTATAATGTTAATTTCTGGTTGTGCTGAGGTGATTTCTGTCAGTTCTTGCTGTTCATTTCAACATAGTTAGGTGCTTGTTGCTTTTTATCTGAGCATTTTTTATTTGTTTGCCTTTTAACCTACCAAGATAAAATGAGTAACTGAGTATCTACATGGGAGTATTAATTGTGCATTGGGATGAATGAGATCCTGTCTGAATCCATCTCTTCCTTAGTGTGAGGAGGAGCTGGTGGTGCCTGTGGGGAGATCCAGTTAAAATGCTCTTGCCAGCATTTTAACTCTAGGTCAAAAGGATTTGTATCACTGACATGATATTTTTTGAGTTTTTTGAGTTTTTGGTCTCTGTAGCCAGGTGAGCTGGGCCACTGTGTTAGAGAGGTGTGGGGTTTTTATCAATATCCTCCATAATGATAAGAAATTTTAGAAGATTGAGCAAAAGCACTCCACAGAAATGTAGTGGTGTCCATTCAGGCTGCTGAAATGTGGAGTTGAGCTGATCCCAAGTGAGACCTGGCCTGGCTGTCCCCTCACGGGGCGATGTCACCAGGAGTTGAATTGTGAATTTAGCAATTCTCTCTAACTGCCTGCATACCCTCTGACGGCGTTTTTCCCCTCCTGCTCACCCTGTTAGAAAGTTCCCGCTGTCCTTTGGTATCATCTGGTGGCCTTCACATGCCGAGTGACACTCCTGTGCGGGGCCATAAATGTAGGAGTGGAAAGGACCTGCCCGAGTGACGGTGCAGGAAGCGCTGCCCTGCGCCGCGTCCTGCCCTCCCATCTGCTCCCAGCCCGGCAGTAAAACCTGCAAAAGGAGGAGGAGAAGGAAGCAGTGGCCTTGCAGAGCAGGCTGCAGCCCGTGGGGACCCAGGCACGGCACCGACAGCTGGAGCAGTGGCCTACTCTGCTCTCCCTGCCAGACGCCATTTTTAACTCTCTCCCACCCACAGCAATCCTGCCACAGGGAGCAAAAATTTGGGGCTACAAGGCACATGTGCTGCCTGCCTTCTTCAGAGTTTCTTCAGCTCAGTTCTCTTTTAGAGCTGATTTATTTTTTTCCTGTTGCGTTTGCTTTTCCCCTTCCCGCGTAGAAAACGTTTTGTGCCAAATTAGAACAAAAACAAAATTTGCTGGTTGCTGGGCTTCTCCTGACCATTCACTGCTGGGTTCGTAGCACTTTTCCTGCCTTGAGAGTGTGTCCAGGCCCTTCCTGGCTGTTGTAGCATCTTGCTGGAGTATCTGGGAATAGGTCAGGTGTGACGGGCAAGGGCCCCTTGACGCAGGACGTGTGGGAGTGGCTGTAACGTGAGATTTGGAATAAGTACCAGAGCTACTTTTGAAGGCTGCTGCAAAGGACAAAGGTGTCTTCCTTCCAGGCTGCCTTTTAAGTGACAAAAAGAGGGTTGTGTGCTTGGGTGTAGTGATAAGAGCTTTTATCTGTGGTGGATTTTGCTGCTGGTGGCTCCTAATTCACTTTTTTGCATCCTGTAGGCACTGGGGAGAGTGGGAAGAGCACGTTCATTAAGCAAATGCGTATAATTCATGGCTCAGGCTACTCTGAAGAGGACAAAAAAGGCTTCACCAAGCTGGTGTACCAAAACATCTTCACTGCCATGCAGTCTATGATAAGAGCCATGGAAACCCTGAAGATTCTGTATAAATATGAACAGAACAAGGTAAGTTGGTCAGTTTTTGGACAAATCTTTAGTCAGTGAGGATTTTGAGGTTTTGTTTCTTTGTGTCTTTCTGCGTTGCAACCTCAACCTCCCTGAACTCTTTTCTATAAACTTTTTATGGCATTTTCTTGATACCCAACTCCTTTTCCTTGGTTGTGTTAAGGGACAGAAGAACTTTGCATGGTTGGTGCATGATGTGCACAGTGAGGGATGGGAGCAAGGGATTGGGATAGGAAGGGGTAGGAGAGGTGTTATTTTTACTCATTTCAAGGATTCAGAGTTATTAAATGTGTTTCTTTGCATGTGTTCCTTTTCTTATTGCAACTTGAAGCTGGCAAAATCCATGCTGGACCCAAAAGACACAGACATGTGCTGGTAGTTACCCCTGTTTCTGCAATCCTTCTGTTTTTCTGATAGATACTGACCAAGGGTGCAAAGCTTTCATGAAGAATTTCGGTCTCAACCACAGAAACATGCTGATTTTGGGACCAGGAATTAATTTTAGACAGATCTGATCTAAATTATTTTCTCTTTTTGAGGGGGAGGACAGTGAGAGTGAGGGCATGCCAGGAAAATAGATTTTTTTTTAGCGTATTTTTCTTTTTTTAATGCTTAGTATCCTTAATATTTTGAAGCTGTGTTTTATCTGACCTATCACAGAATGTCTTGGAGCTTTGAATTTTGAGTATTTAATTTTGAATAATTGTTTGTAGGGATTAGATGGTGTCCCTTTCCTGTCTGTGGTGAGAATACGCAGAGTGTGAGAAAGCTTTCCCTGTGCTTTATGTGAGGCATGGTGGAGGGGTTCTGATAAATCAAATCTGCAAGATTTTGCTTGCTGTAACCTGTGCAGAACTTCATTTTGGTTTTTATTTATTGGGGGCATTGGGAAAAGCCCCTAGGTGTGGATAATCACCTCACAAACACCACAAGCTATGGCAGTTACTTTGCTTAGCCATTGTAGGGGTTTTATACCCCCTAGTTTTGTTTTTTTTTTTTTTTAATTTTTCTCTCTTTTCTTCTTCTTTTCAATCTCCAGGCCAATGCAGTGCTGATCAGAGAAGTGGATGTAGAAAAGGTCATGACATTTGAGCAGCCATATGTAAGTGCAATTAAAACATTGTGGAATGACCCTGGAATACAAGAGTGTTATGACAGGAGAAGAGAATATCAACTTTCTGACTCAGCTAAATAGTAAGTACACAATCACTGGCGTGCTTGTGGTGGGAGTGATGCTCCAACAAATTTATTTATTTATTTATTAAAGTCCAGAGTTTGTTTCCTTATTATTTGCTGCTTTTCCTGGGAGTCTGAGGTGTTCATGCATCTGCTTCAGGATGTACCTGAGCCCAGAATCTCCACATTATTCCATTTGTATTGATCCTGGCTCTTGGGCAGCAGGAGTGCTGCTCCTTCTCATCAAGTTTGCCATGTGTAACTCAGATTTTATTAATTACAAATCCATTAAGTTTGGCATTGTACAGAGGATGTTTCTACATTTATAAGTAGAAAACCTCAGATGAGACTTGATCCTGAAACATAAAGCATTTAAACTTCCTCTGTTGTAAAGATTGTATTCCCCACTCTTATACAGAGTGGATAAAATTGTTTTTGGTGAATTACTGTTCCCCAAAAATATTTTCTGTTACTTTCCACACCATATTTAAAATCATTCAGACAACTTCTGCCTTTCTCATTACAGAAATACTTCATGTAGCAATTTGTACATCTGTATCTTTATATGCTTCAACCTAAGGTAGTTTTTTTTCCTTTTTCCTGTGTTATTTTTTTTCCCACTGTCCTGTTTGCAGCTATCTCAGCGATGTGGATCGTATTGCCACCCCAGGATATCTACCAACTCAGCAAGATGTGCTACGGGTTAGAGTCCCTACAACCGGGATCATAGAGTACCCCTTTGACCTAGAGAACATTATCTTCAGGTACTGAGGTGTCCTCATGTTACAGCTCAGCTGGGAGATGGTTTCAGGAAGGAAAAATTGGGGCTTTTTTCAGTGTGTCCGTGTGGTTTTAGTGGTTTTGTGATGGGTGCTGCTCTAATTGGGGTGGTCTGATGTTGTGAAAACTCAACATTCAAAACTCAACATTCAAAACTCAACATTCAAAACTCAACATTCAAAACTCAACATTCAAAACTCAACATTCAAAACTCAACATTCAAAACTCAACATTCAAAACTCAACCTGCTTCACAACCCAGGGAACCATCTTGGTGCCCTTCCTGGGAAGGATTGCACTGCTGAAATTGGGATTTTTGAGGCAGCTCAGCAAGATGTGCTACGGGTTAGAGTCCCTACAACCGGGATCATAGAGTACCCCTTTGACCTAGAGAACATTATCTTCAGGTACTGAGGTGTCCTCATGTTACAGCTCAGCTGGGAGATGGTTTCAGGAAGGAAAAATTGGGGCTTTTTTCAGTGTGTCCGTGTGGTTTTAGTGGTTTTGTGATGGGTGCTGCTCTAATTGGGGTGGTCTGATGTTGTGGAAACTCAGAAAACTCAAAATTCACAACTCAAAATTCACAACTCAACTTGCTTTTGAAGCCATCTTGGTGTCCTTCCTGGGAAGGATTGCACTGCTGAAATTGGGATTTGTGAGGCAGCTGAGGGATGTGTTGAAGGCTGAAGCCACCAAGGGCTGACACTTTTTGTGCAGAAATTCTTCTTTGTACACAGCACCTGCCTTGAGAGCTGGTTTTCTGTGCCCACCTTGTGTTCTCAGGGTGGCACCAAAACTTGCTGCTGCAGCAACAGAGGGTTTTTGCAAGCTTAAGCCAGAAATTAAGCCTGGCATGACCAGGCTGAACCCAGCAATATTCCTGTGTTTCTCTCTGCCCTTCCCCACCACACTGTGGCATTGCCAGAGAGGAGTAAAAGAACCTGCATCCCCTCTTTTAAACCATTTGGTTACAGAAATGCAGAATTCTCCTCTCCCTGTTCTGTTTGCTGAGTAGAAAAACAGCAAAAAACCAAAACTGGGAGTAGGTGTAGGATTTTCTCAAAGGTGAACCACGTGTGGCACTTCAGGTGAGTGCCAGAATAACTTTAGTGTACAGGTAGATCTTGAAATTGAGAGGCTGGAATGCTTGACAGTTAAACAGCACATTCCAATAAAAGTGTAACAACTAAAGAAAGATTTGGGTGGGGGAGAAGCTTTGAGGCAAGCAGGTGCTTTAATTAAAAATAAAAATAGTTTGCTCACGTGACAGAGCACAGTTTTGAAGGACTTGTCTTTTCAGACTCAGGGCTGCTGCTGAGCAAACCAGAGCAGAATGCAACAAAAATGCTGAAAGGTGAATTTGGCATCACTCACCTGTGGCCATTCTTGCAGTTTGCTGTATTTTGTAAATTTGATGTGTTTTTAACAGAGAGATGCTGTCACACCCCTGTGCCAGGTTAACAGGAATGGTAAAAAACCAAATTAATTCTCATTGTTTGCTGCTCCTTTGCATTCAGAGAACTGCAGCTACCTCTGTGATATTCTTATTTACTTCTCTTCCTTAGAATGGTGGATGTTGGAGGTCAGAGATCAGAACGAAGGAAGTGGATCCATTGCTTTGAAAATGTGACTTCCATCATGTTTTTAGTAGCACTTAGTGAATATGACCAAGTTCTGGTGGAATCTGATAATGAGGTGAGCCAAAGAGTGGGAACCCTGCAGGAGGGAGGAAGAAAGGGAGAGAGGGAGGAATTTTTATATTTCCTTGAAGGCTGGTACCCAGCTGCTTGGTGCCAAGTTGGATTAGCTGCTCTTATTGGTTTTGGCCTTCAGTTCTTGTTGCAAAAGGAACATGAGCCTCCACAGGTCATGATGTCCCTGAGGATGGAAAAGGCAGAGGGCATTCAAATCATCTGGACTTGTCAAGTGAAAAATGAAATTATCTGCAGTTTCCAAGTCCCTTGTGCTCCCACATCACCCCTTCCCCTCCTGCACTGAGTTACTTCAGGCTTTGCTGTCCTGGGAGGTGCTGGCTGCACTCTTTGAAGGTGCAAATCTGAATTTTAGCACTTGCTAATAGATCAAAAACATGCTGTTAGATAAAAATAGTTGCTCTTTTTCTAGTAGACAAAATATGCTCACAAGGTACCATTGGACAGTGCTCTCACATGACTGTTAAAGCATAAAATGACTTTTTAAGTCTTTTGATGTGGAAGGCTTGGCAAATAAATGAACCTTGAGTCTCTCAGATTTTGCATTTCCTTTCCATTTACTGATCCAGCTTGAACCAGAATCTACCTGGCACCAAAATATTTTGTGTATAATGTTTGAGATGCTGAATTCCTACAGCAAAAAGGGATTTTAGTGCTCCTCTGTGCAAACAGGGTTTTGTTTTTCTGCTTTCAGAACCGGATGGAAGAGAGCAAAGCTCTCTTTCGAACCATTATAACTTATCCATGGTTCCAAAACTCTTCTGTTATCCTCTTTCTCAACAAGAAAGATTTGTTGGAAGACAAGATCCTGTATTCCCACCTTGTTGACTATTTCCCAGAGTTTGATGGTAAGTGGATTTTAAGAGGGAGCACTTGGTGGGGTGGAGGTGATTTGGTTAAAATTTATTTATTTTTTAAAGAACACTCAGATCTAGAAGTGGAAAAAGCATGAATTGGAGAAAGAGTGACTACAGCAATAAGAAAACATCACAAAAATATCTTAATTGTGCATAGAGAAGTGGAATCTGATAAGATGATCAAATAATGAGGCTCTCCTAAATGAAGAATTATCCCCTCCAATATGCACAATGGAAGTCTAACTTGCACATAAAACCAGTTTCATACCCATGACAATTTCCTGATATTCTGGATCTTTTAACCCTCTAGTTAAGAGGTGATTTCAGTCTTTGTTTTGAGAAACCAACTGGTCAAGTTGTTTAAATGATGGTGTTAAAAAAAAAATCTTCCTGCAGTTTGAAATTCTTATTAGCAGAAATCCATCTGCTGTTGTGGGGAAATAATATCTATGTGAAACAGAGATTTTCCCATCTGAAACAAAACTCCTTAGCCAAAATATTATTTCAGGCTCTTCAGCTGAGTGCATTTAAAGCTGGCTGGTAACACATCTGTACAGGGCTGAAAATAAAATCAAAGTGGTGGAGGATAAATCAGGCAATACTCTTCTTGCCATGCTCTAATTCTGCAATTATTTGCTTAAAAAATATGAGGTAAAGGGAGAATTACCATCTTGCAAACAGCTTTTGTTATTTAGAGGCCCAGTGGAATTGTGTTGGTGTGTCCTCCCACATCTGGAGTTCCTGCTTGGAGCTCAGGTTTTTCCAGCAGGCTGGGAATGGGTGAGGAGCTGCTTCCCAAACAGGGGATGGAGTTTTTGTTGGGTTCCAAACTTCAGATGGAGCTGTAACAGCTGGAGGCACATCCCAGCTTCCAGGGCTGTCCTGTGCTTCCATTTTATCCTGCAAGCAGCTCCTTCAGGGATGCAGCATGGCCTGGGAGTGGGAGGTTGCCCATCAGATTTCCTCTCAAGGGATGGCATTTGCCATGCAACAACAGCAGTGAAAGAAATTGTAGTAGGTGATTATTTTCTGGGGAATTGTCAGCAATGTGAATTAAAAACTGGCCAAAATCCTCATTTTTAGCTCCTGTGAGGCGACCAGCTGGATCAGACTGATTTGTATTTTGACTGGCAATAACCCTTGTTGCCAAAATTCACACTTNAGAGTCCCTACAACCGGGATCATAGAGTACCCCTTTGACCTAGAGAACATTATCTTCAGGTACTGAGGTGTCCTCATGTTACAGCTCAGCTGGGAAATGATTTCAGGAAGGAAAAATTGGGGCTTGCTTCAGTGTGTCCGCGTGGTTTTAGTGGTTTTGTGATGGGTGCTGCTCTAATTGGGGTGGTCTGATGTTTTGGAAACTCAGAAAACTCAAAATTCACAACTCAACTTTCAAAACTCAACCTGCTTCACAACCCAGGGAACCATCTTGGTGTCCTTCTTGGGAAAGATTGCACTGCTGAAATTGTGATTTTTGAGGCAGCTCAGCAAGATGTGCCATGGGTTAGAGTCCCTACAAGCAGGATTATAGAATATCCCTTTGGCCTAGAGAACATTGTCTTCAGGTACTGAGGTGTCCTCATGTTACAGCTCAGCTGGGACATGGTTTCAGGAAGGATAAATTGGGGCTTTTTTCAGTGGATGTGTGATGCTCTAATTGGGGTGGTCTAATGTTGTGGGAACTCAGAAAACTCAACATTCAAAACTCAGCATTCAAAACTCAACCTGCTTTTGAATCAGTGACACTTCCAAACCCAGGGAGCCATCTTGGTGCCCTTCCTGGGAAGGATTGCACTGCTGAAATTGTGATTTTTTTGAGGCAACTCAGCAAGATGTGCCATGGGTTAGAGTCCCTACAACCAGGATTATAGAATATCCCTTTGGCCTAGAGAACATTATCTTCAGGTACTGAGGTGTCCTCATGTTACAGCTCAGCTGGGAAATGGTTTCAGGAAGGATAAATTGGGGCTTTTTTCAGTGGATGTGTGATGCTCTAATTGGGGTGGTCTAATGTTGTGGGAACTCAGAAAACTCAAAATTCACAACTCAAAATTCACAACTCAACTTGCTTTTGAAGCCATCTTGGTGTCCTTCCTGGGAAGGATTGCACTGCTGAAATTGGGATTTGTGAGGCAGCTGAGGGATGTGTTGAAGGCTGAAGCCACCAAGGGCTGACACTTTTTGTGCAGAAATTCTTCTTTGTACACAGCACCTGCCNCTTTCAGCCTGTGAGATCCACCTGTATAATAGGAAGAAATGTACACCCCATTTCCATGGGAGAGCATTTAGGGGTGTCAGTGTTCCCCAGTGGATGCTCCCACCCTGGGCCTGAATTCCAAAGCAGGGTCTGAACTGACCCATCAAAACTGCAAAGTGCCCAGAAAACTATAAAATACTTCACTATGGGAGCTTTGATCCCATAAATAATCTTAATTTCATCTTTAAAGCTGTGTAACCCTTAGGAAAAAAGTGCTCCTGAAACCATTCACTGGTTTCACTCTATATTAGGAAGAAATGTACATTAGGAAGAAATGTATATTAGGAAGAAACGTACACCCCATTTCCATGGGAGGGCATTTAGAGGTGTCTGTCCAGCATCTGCCACTGTTCCCAGTGGATGCTCCCAGCCAGGCTCTGAACTGACCCATCAAAACTGCAAAGTGCCCAGAAATTTGTTTAAACACCTGAAAACCATAAGGCACTTCATCTCTTGGAGCTTTGATGCCATAAATAATCTTAATTTTGTCTTTAAAGCTCTGTAAGCCATAGGACAAAAGTGCTGCTGGATCTGGGGGATGCATGGGAATGGAACCATTCCTTGGTTTCACTGTATATTAGGAAGAAATGTAAACTCCATTTCCATGGGAGGGCATTTAGGGGTGTCACTGTTTCCCAGTGGATGCTCCCACCCAGGGTCTGAACTGACCCATCAAAACTGCAAAGTGCCCAGAAAACTATAAAATACTTCACTATGGGAGCTTTGATCCCATAAATAATCTTAATTTTGTCTTTAAAGCTGTGTAACCCTTAGGAAAAAAGTGCTGCTGAAACCATTCACTGGTTTCACTGTATATTAGGAAGAAATGTACATTAGGAAGAAATGTGCACCCCATTTCCATGGGAGGGCATTTAGGGGTGTCTGTCCAGCACCTGCCACTGTTTCCCAGTGGATGCTCCCAGCCAGGCTCTGAACTGACCCATCAAAACTGCAAAATGCCCAGGAATTTGTTTAAACACCTGAAAACCATAAGGCACTTCATCTCCTGGAGCTTTGATGCCATAAATAATCTTAATTTCATCTTTAAAGCTCTGTAACCCATAAGACAAAAGTGCTGCTGGATCTGGGGGATGCATGGGAATGGAACCATTCATTGGTTTCACTGTATATTAGGAAGAAATGTACACCCCATTTCCATGGGAGAGCATTTAGGGGTGTCACTGTTTCCCAGTGGATGCTCCCACCCTGGGCCTGAATTCCAAAGCAGGGTCTGAACTGACCCATCAAAACTGCAAAATGCCCAGAAAACCATAAGACACTTCATCTCCTGGAGCTTTGATCCCATAAATAATCTTAATTTCATCTTTAAAGCTCTGTAACCCTTAGGAAAAAAGTGCTGCTGAAACCATTCACTGGTTTCACTCTGTATTAGGAAGAAATGTACATTAGGAAGAAGTGTATATTAGGAAGAAATGTGCACCCCATTTCCATGGGAGAGCATTTAGGGGTGTCACTGTTTCCCAGTGGATGCTCCCACCCAGGGTCTGAACTGACCCATCAAAACTGCAAAATGCCCAGAAATTTGTTTAAACACCTGAAAACCATAAGGCACTTCATCTCCTGGAGCTTTGATGCCATAAATAATCTTAATTTTGTCTTTAAAGCTCTGTAAGCCATAGGACAAAAGCATTCACAAAAGCAAGCATTCACTGGTGTCTCTGTTTGCTGCAGGCCCACAGAGGGATGCCCAGGCAGCCCGTGAGTTCATCCTCAAGATGTTTGTGGATTTAAATCCCGACAGTGATAAAATCATCTATTCCCATTTCACATGTGCCACAGACACAGAAAACATCCGTTTCGTCTTTGCAGCTGTCAAGGACACCATCCTACAGCTCAACCTGAAGGAATATAACCTGGTTTGACCTGCTCTGCTCTTGCCCCTTGAGAGGCTTCTTTGTGAAGAAAAGACAAAAAAAAAAAAAAAAAAAAAAAAAAAAAAAGAAATTTTAAATATGACAGGATAAAAAAAAAAAGTTTTAATTTTTGATGATGTAATGATTGCAAATTGTCTGATCTGTGGAGTGGCAAGTGCTCGGTGTTACCCTGGAGTCTCATGTCTCTGTCCACAGAGTAGTTGATTTCATATTTTTAACAAATTGCTTTTATGTCACAGTTAACGGGGATATGCCTCATTTCTTCAGCACCTTGCTTACTTCTTAATTTTTGCCAAGCAGCTAAGGCAGCCTCATCTTGATCTTTCTTTTGTTGCTAAGCCACTTTTATTTTTTTTTGTTTTAATTTTATTTTTTTCCCCCTTTCATTCCCGTGGTATATGTAGAGAAAAACAAAAAATCCCCAACACTTTCCAGCTGAGATTGTGAATTCACTGGACTGTGGGAGTGCAGAATGCTACTGGTCCCTTTGCCTTGTGCTCTAGGGTGCCTCTGGTGTAATTAATTTGCTAATCCTGCTTCTTTCCCTTCCTATTTTCCCTTTCCTTCCCCAGGACACGCTCCATGGTTCACTGTGATGAAATGTTGGGGAGGAGCAATTGCTCTCCAACTATTGTGCAAAAAAAAAAAAAAGAAAAAGGCAAAACAAACAAACAAAAAAAGCCATCACTTTTCCATTCTTTATATGTTCTGAGTAATTTTTTGTTATCAGTTATAAAAGGTATGGAGACTGTGATTTTTTTTTCTTTTTTTTAAATTATTGATGTTCTATACATAGTTTGCTATGTGTTGCTGTATTTTGTTCATGGACTACAATTGATGGAAGCTCTTGGAGCAATAGCTGCTGAGCCTGGGGAAGTGCCTGACTGTAATTGTTCTTTTTTTATTTCATTTTTATTTCACTTTTACTCCTTTTTTTATTTTTTTTTCCCACACAAACACATCCCACCCACACCACAAGCACGTGGCCATGTGTGCACAAGGCTCAGTCTGCAGAGAGGAACTGTTTTTGTTGGGAAGAGTTTTTTGACATCAATGAGCAACTTCTCTATGCAGCAGTTACCAAAAGCACACTGAGTGATTGTGGCATTCCAACATCAGACTTTGCCTGCATTGAAAACCTTAATCTTGTGCCATCCTCTAGGTCTTTTCTTGCTGCCTAATAGCAATCAAGCCTTGTTTTAATTGCATTTGGTGCCAGTGTGTGAATGAGTTTGTAGGAATTCCTCGGCCTTGCAGAGTCTGAGAGGACCAGAGGTGGAGGGTGAGAGGCTCTGCCAGGATTGTTCCTTTTGGAGCTTGAGGAGGGAGTTCTGTCCCTCCTGTTGATGCATTCCCCTCTTTGGAGGATTTGCACCCATCCTTGCTGCAGGGTGGTAGCAGTGGTTAATGAATTAATTAATTAATTGTTAGCAGGGGCTGCTGCAGAATGCAGAGAGCCCTGCCCTGGCTGCACTTGGTGCAGCAGGAGAGGAGCAGAGAG